AGTTGCATTTTCCTAGATTCTGAATTTAAATCTTTACATTGTTTTATAAAATTGTCAATCGTTCCAGTATCTTTTATTGGAATTAAAGCCCTTTTGCATTCATCATTAGCATTTTCAAAAGCTAACATTTTTAAGAGATGCTCTTGTAAGTCTTGTCCCACTACTGTTTTTTCTATAACATTTTGAAGTCTTGCAACGAACTCAACATACGGTTCATTGGCTCCTTGCAGAACTTTAGCCCAAGATCCATATTCTGATCCTTTAGGCCGTATTTTATCCCAAGCTTTTAAAGCAATATCTTTTAATTGAGTATGAATCTCTCTTGGAGCTCCTGCCTGATGCTCAACAGTATCAAAGAAACCTGTACCAGAGAGCATGGGATAAGAAAGGAGTCTAATATTCGGATCTCGATCGTCAGCATTTTGTCTTGCCTTTTCCGCACAACCTTCCATAAACCACATGTGCCACTGTAAATATTCTGGCTCCTTTAAAAGAATTTTGGCCAAGGCTTTCCAATCATAAGGAGCAAGATTACCATAGTGATCTGCTACCGATGTTATTAATTCTCTAGTGTAATGAGCCTGAGGGCCATAAAGGGTTACAGCCTTTTTTAATTTTGCTAAATCATCCATATTAAATGCTTCCCATCTAGGGGGAACTGCCTCTCCATCTATTGGCTGAGGCCTGATTACAGGGAAAGCAAAGGCAGGCTTTTCCTCATCAGAATCCCCTAATTTTGGTAAATCAGCCAAAGCTAGCTTGGCTTTACTCCAATTAGGGTTAGATGGAGGAGGTGCAGAGGGAACTACAGGCGGGTTCTGCTTAACGGAGAGTTGTTTCACCTCTTGTGTTAAATGCTGTATAGCCTGTAAAATTGGGCGATTGTCATAATTTGATATTGCTGCGGCAGCTAAAGCTGAGTCGGCTGTAGCGGATTTTACTTTTGGTTTGGACGCCTTTTCACTACTTAAAGCGATAGCGTCATTTTGAACTACATTCTGCTCCTCCTCTGTGAGGGGCAATTCCTGAATAACTGGCTTAATTTCTAGTTGAAGATTTTCTACAATATGTTCATCTTCCATAGCTTTTAATAAAGAGTACACAACCGACCAAATAGCCCAAAAACGTAAAGGAATCTTTTCCTCCTGTTGCATAGCCCTTTCTATACTAACCCTTGCCTTCCTCCATACTTCTACATCCAAAGTTCCTTCATCTGGAAACCAAGGATTATATTCTTTAATTGTATCAATACACATATCCAAGTCAGCTGACCTGAGCGATATGCCATATATAGATAATAAATGTTTAAGAATTTTTAAGAAAGGAGAGGAAGCAGATTGTCCCATTTCCCCGTAATAAAATTATACTTACCTTCCTAAGCGACCTTCGGAGTCCCTGAATTCGGGCGCCACTTGTCGTGAGTGTCTAGAGCACTCTGAACTCCGGGCAAGGTAAACACGCACGCCTTGTCGGGACACGGGGGGTACAGCGCTTGGAAAAGAAAGACAGGAGAGACACCTTTGCTGTCTGCACCGCGTTACACTGCACTGCACTGCACTGTACGCACAATCTTTATTTTAGGATTCATATATAGTAAACCCGATCAATTCACAGAGCCCAGATAATTAAGTAGTGAAAAGGCATTCTTTGTGGCAAGCTACAACGTGACAGACTACAATGTTTATTCTAAAACTATCTAAGTGAAGTAAATAATCACAACCAGTTCTCACAACTTCTCTAGCCCAGGAAGAAATTCATTAGCTCAAGAATGTTGTTAATTTGTCTGCTGTTAGTGTCACAAAGGGTGGCCAGCCACTTCCTCAAGACTTCTGCAAAACAAAGCCAGCTCACAGTATGGATTCCAGAGGGTGAGGGCTCACTGAGAACGGGCATTCCCGTTCTACCTCCTTCTCGCATACCAGGGCGGCTATTGTAAATTGCAGGTTAGAGGGGGTTGGGCCTACAAAGTGACACCTCATCCCCCACACACACTCCCATCCCTTTCCATGAATGCCTTTGTTCTTTCTATAAGTTACAAATAAGCTAAAGATAATGATGTCTGCCATATACCTTGGCTGTGTGCCTTGCTTCCCTGTTGGATCAATGTTAGCTAAGAAGTTATACTTGTTCCCCTATTGGTTGATTGCAGTTTTACCCACGTTGTGCCCATGTTGTGATTTTGCTGCATAAAATATTCTTGGAGGAAGAGCCTCTACAGTGACTCACTTCCAGGGCCTCTCCTGTCCTGAGATGCTTTATTTCAATAAACTTTTTTCTATTTTAACGTCCTTGGTCCTCAAAATTTGGTATTCAAGAGACACAAAATGGCAACATCTGGGATATGATGGACTGGGAGTTATTTTTCCCATCACAGTTTACCTTGAATGAAGATCTTCTTAAGGGAAGCAGAACTTGAGTTAGCAGCTGCTGAGAATCAGCCATGGTGGAACCCAGGCAGCTGCAGAAGAAGGCGACTTGCCTGCCCTCTTCGTAAGTGCTTTTCTCTGGCATGAACCAGGAGGAGACCCCGTCAGCGGCATCTGTGAACCTACTAGTGCGTGGGCTGGAAATTAAACATCCCAACCTATCTCTGTCCATTAGCAACTGGGGACAGAAGCCTGAGCACGTCTTGAGAAGATGACCGTATGCATTATAGCAAATATGTTGGATTTCCTTCCATCCTCTGTTTGAAGGCAATTTTTTCACTGTTTTCTTTCATTAAGATTAATTGTATTACCCTATTCAATATTATCTTTTGAATGGCTTTGTAATTTTGTTTTTGATTTGATTTTGTTGTATCTGATTGGCTGGACAACTATTGTGAAGAGAACGAGATATACTATGATACCTATTACTGTTATCCTAGTGTCCTGATGGAAATCCTGTACCACTTTCACTGCATTGTCTCGATTGACTGTGTTCTGTCTTGTTCTGTTGTATTTGTACTACTTTCAAAATTAAAAAAAGCAAGGAAAAGCACAACTCTCTAACTCATTTCTCTGCTCCCTGCCAACCACATCGGGGACTGTTTCTCTGCTGCTTACTGTGTGAGCCACTAGAGCCTCCAGAGGTAGCATTCACAGAAGTGTGCAGCCCCTTCACTGTAATTTTTAAGAGGTCACACTGGGCCTCTGTCATTTTTTTTTTTTTTGGCCTTGGGAATCAAACTTGCACTTGCCAGGCAGGTGATTATGTCACTGAGCTATATTGCCAGTCCTCAGTTTTTTTTACTACAGCCCAGATTATTGTAGTTTGAGCCTAGTTTCCATGGAGGTTTCTTTTTGTGACTTTCTGCTGAGATGTAGTATATATATCACTTGTCTCTCTCCTGTCTCTTGGGGCCAGTGACTCACCATGGAACTTCACCTCACTGACAGGGCTAAGATGCACTGTGGTTTTCAGTTTAGCTTTTTGCTTAACAGAGAAGTGACATTATTATACACTCCTATAAGCCGAACTACGAATCAGACATGCTGCTATAGTATTTCATTTGTCAGAATACTTGATATCAATTTTGAAGAACTCTGCGAAGCCATCTCGTGTATTTCTACAGGGAATTGTTAAATTTGTCCAGGAGCTGTACATAGAAAAATGCAATCTAATATGAAAATGGCTTTCTGCCATAAATAAAACTTTTTTTAAAACAAAGAACCAAGTCTCAAACAAAAGTCATAGCAGTTGATTTTCCAGCCAGTCACAAGCTGCACGTTGCCAAAATATGTCAGAATAATGCAAATACATAGCTGTCACTAGACTCTTTCCATATGCAAACATTTTTATGGTCTATAAAGTCTCCTGCCAACATTGCTGGGTGGAGGTCTTGGGAGCTGCCCAATTTATTGTTTCTCTGAGCAAATAAACTCTAAGTTTAGTTTTCTAAATTTATCTTTTAGTAGCTTATTATGGGATAACCTGTCTCTTCCTCTATTCCACTTTATGGACAGAGGTCACAGATGATTTTTCTGACACTTTGATATAGATCTAAATTTATTGTACTTAATGATGCCTGGTCGTTAGAAAACTCTTGTTGTTCCCCTATTTGGTCTTAGTTATATGCCAAAATGAAGCCAAACACAAAGAAAACAGGGAAACAAAAGGACCAGGGAAAAACCCGGAAATGAGCACAATCAGGGAGTCTGGGGAGGAGCAGAGAGAAATGTCCTTTCCTTATCCGCATGGAGGGCTTTTTCTCTACACCCACAACCCTCCTCCAGTCTGCCCGGCCTTCAGCAGTGACGTGGCTGCAGAGGCAGCTGCTTGCAAGGCCGCACTGCAGAACCTTGCCTCCTTGAGTTCCTTCCACTTTGTTCCTCTGTACAGCTCTTAAAATGGTTCAAAATTGAGAGCCGAAAACGCCTTTCCTATCATGCATAAATAGCTATGTATGCATGTATGTGTGCACGTGTGTGGGATGCAGTGGAGAGAGACTTTGTCCAGACTATCATTGAGATTGCAGAGGGGGGCTAAGCTACACAGGAGCTTGTTTATTGTTATCTTGGGAACATGACTGTACCTCCTTGATGAGAGCTCAATGCAACTTATGGCTCATCTGGAATCGCTCTGTCAGCCATTTGGTGCTGAAAGGAAAGGGCATTTGTTTGTGCCTTGTGACCTGCATGCTTCCTGCTGGGATTGCCTGGTGTTGAATATGAGCACAGTGCAAACAGACACTCAGAAAAACAAGACCATCAAGTAAAGAGGGCAGATTGGGCTGCTGGCAGAGTACACATGCAGGCTGGGCTCTTGCTGTTGTCCTGGTGTACTCTGCCTGCCTAGTAGAAGAGACTTCAGTGTCCCAGAAGAGAAGAGACTTCAGTGTCCCTCAGAGTGCTTTAACTATGATCAGAATATGGGTTCTTGGTGTTGGGAGGTATTAGCACGGGGTGTGAATAGTTCAGGATGTTACCTCTGTAAGCTACTGTACTGGTTAAGGGGTGTGGCTCCAGGAGGTGTTCCTGATACCTCTTGTGAGGCCTGCATTCTCGGGAAATCACCCCAGATGCTGCAAGCTAGAGCAGACTGTTTTCGCACCGCACTCCACCCTTCTCAGACCTCAGTTTGGGAGCTGATGTGTGGCAAGTGGAGTTGGGCAAGGCTGGATTAAACATTAATGTAGCTGTAACCATCACCCATGGGAGAAAGCTTGAGACAGAGCTCCGCGATTTTCCCAGGCTGAGGAGTGGTGACTAGCAGTCATGGCTCAGTTTGGCCAGATTCTTTCTGAAATAGGTGACTTTGGTCGCTTCCAGGTACGGTTACTGATCATGGTGAGTGTTCCCCACTTGCTCTATTCCTTCTATATATTTGGCCAGGTTTTTATAGTCCTGGATGAGCCCCACCACTGCTCGGTGGCCTGGGTCCAGAACAAAACTTTGAACCTGAGTGCTGAAGAGCAGCTGAATCTGAGTGTCCCTCTGGATGCGGAGGGCCAGCCCGAGTCCTGCCTCATGTTCCGGCCACCCCCTGACACTGCCAGCCTGGAGGACATCCTCAGCCACCACTTCAATGAGACACAGCCTTGTGAGACTGGCTGGGACTATCCTGAGCACAGAGCCCCCTCCCTACTGAATGAGGTGAGGCTGGCCTTGGTCTGTCTGTCCGTCTGCTGCAGTCTGTTGCTTCCTCTGCCTGACCTGTGCCTTGGTTGCCTGTGCTGCTCTTCTCCCTTCCCATTCTTGAAGCTCTGGCTGTCTCTATGCCTGCTTTTCAGTCCACCACTCATCCTGCTTTCCTTGTGCTCTGCCCACTGACCCTTCTCTCTCATGCACCTTGTCTGTCTGGTCTGCCTGCCGCCTGTCTGTGTGTGGTTGCCCTCTCTGTGCTTGTCACGCTGCCCGTCTGCTCTGCTGTCTGCCTGTGTTCCTGTCCCCTTGTGCTTCCCTCCCGCACTTTCTCCCTCTCCCTGACATCTGCATCGGTCCATTTTCCTTCCCATGATCCTGCCCTCGTGTCTGTCTGGTTACCTGTCCCCTTGTGTTGTCCTTGCTCTCTCGGGTCACCTTCTTCCCTGCCCTCACATCCTCCTTCCTGCTCCTGGACTTGGACCTCCAACTGTCCATCTCCTCTCTACATCTCGGCCTGGCTGCTGTCTCTGGGTTGCTGGAGGGCACTGGTGACTCCAGGACCTGTGCTGTGCACAGCAAGGGACCGGCTCACTTCCTTAGGAGAGACAGAGGCAGGTAGCCAGACTGATTACTCCTCCAACCACATCAGAGCAGAGGGGCCCCCTGCAGCATCAGACCTGATGCTGTTGGTGCTCCAGCAATGGAGGCTGCGGGGAGAGAACTTGGCCAGAGCATCTAGGAGAGCTCCCGGTGGAGCTGGGCTGCATGCTGGACCCCTGTTGTGCCAGTCCAGAGACAGCACTGATGGGACACAGACAAATTCAACTGTTGCTGTCCGCATAGCCGTAAACTTGGAGACCAGTAACTGTTCTTTTGCACTAAAAGTTTTGAAAAACATTCACTTTTTTGGAAGCTTTCTAGCACAATATTTTAATCAAAGTCAGACATATTTATTTGTTTCTTGGTTTGTTAACCTATTGTAGAAATTGAACTTCACACATTGAGGCCCCCAATCCTTAAAATGCATTTTAATGTAAAATTTCTTTTGAGAACATTTTTCATTTAAAGGGCACTTTATAAGAAAATTATATGACATAAAAAATGAGACGGGAAAAAGCAAACCGAAAACGATTTATTGCTTCGTGTGGCGCTGGACAGAGCTTGCAAGCTGTGCAGCTAGAGACATGATGGAAAACAAACTGATGCATATGTTCCTTGGCCAAAGCTAGACTAAGAGCGGGCTGCGTCACTTTCTGTTTTTCACCACCTCTTCTGCAGGCTTTCTGGTCTAAAGCAGAGGAGAGAGGCCGGTCGCACTTGCCCTCCCTGAGTTCCGCGGGGCTGACCCAGGGCTCATTTGTGCTGCCGAGCGCTCCCCCTAGTGGTAGCTGCGCTTGCTGCTCTGCTCATCCTCTCCCCAGTCACTGAGTAGGTGTTTGCTTGGCCACTTTCTTAGGTCAGGAACTGTGCAGTGGGAGAGCCCAGAGGATTCGGGAGAGGCATGGTCGTCTAGATCTCGACCTCTGGGTTTGGCTGAAAGATTATTTGTTTGTTTCAGGCCGGAAACTGCCAGATGCCTACTGCTTGACCTGTAGTAAAATGACAGTTTTCAAGACCAGAGAGTGTGGCTCGTTCTGGTTTATCACAGGCAGGCTGCAAACCTTGCTTTTATCAGCAGAGGTGTGGAGTAACGTGGCCAAGCTGTCAGGTTCCTCTTCCTCAGTGGGAATGGTCCGTGGAAGGCAGTGCAAGAAGGCAGGTAGGCAGGGCGGGGCCTGGGGAAACCAGTGGGCTGAAGCGAAGCCGCTGAGTGCTCGGCTGCATCTCAGCAACTGGAGCTCCTTTTCATTTTTAAGTTTGCAGCAGGGTCTATCTGAAGTGTGATCTCCCTGCCTCTGTCTGCTGAGTAGGGGGGAGCACAGGTGTGCAGTAGCACTTGTGACTGAACACTCACTTTCTAATTGTGGCCCTAGAGCTCCGACCCTGGGAGCCTCAGGATGTGGCCTCCTCTGTTCTCCCACCTGCCCAGTTGTTCCCACCTTCTCATGAGAGCGTTGAGTAGCTCAGGAACCTTCTCAGTCTCTGGATCTAGTGCAGCCTACTGTAATGCACCTTAGCAGAACTGGAGTAATCACTCAGCATCAGTCCATGGTGGGTACAAGGCTTCACTGCCTCTCAAAAGTTGTGATGGCCACACATGCTTATAACCTCTTATCCGCCTGCCAGATATCATCCTTGGGCCCACAGAACAGCGCCCATTGTTCAGAGCCTTCTGTATCCATCATTGCAGGCCATTTGCTGATGCGTTAGTGGACTGCTTGTACTGCTCCATCCTGCTGAAGCCTACTGAGGATAACGGCAGGAAACAGATAGAGGAAGGGGCCCATGTTGCCTGTATCTGAGGATCCACTGTCAGGAAGCTCTGAGTAGCATAGAAATAAAGTCTGGGTGAACTCAGAGGCAGAGGCAATAAGCAGGCTACTTCCTGAAATGGGTGGACTTTGAGTTGCACATTGAAATACCCAAAACTGTCAGAGGGAGGAGCGAGTCCTTCATAGGCAGGGAACGGCCAAGGAACATGCTGGCAGCAGAAATCAGGCAGTGCGGCAGCTTGGGCACCTGGTGAGTGGCAGAGGGTAGGGAAGTGTGTGGGACCCAGATGGGGCGTTACAAGAATTTGGGACTGTGACCTATTAATTCTGTCATACACTGCTATTTGGGTTGGGGTTGAGGATGGAACCCAGGACATTCATACTGGGCCTTCTCTCCAGTCCACCTTTATTTTGACATAGAGTCTCATTAAGGTCTCACTAAGTTGCCTGGGCTGGGCTCCAACTTGAGATCCTCCTGCCTCCAACTCCCCAAATTCTAGGTTTACAGGTGTGCTCCATTGTGCTCAGCTGTTTCCTATAGGTGAAGACAATGCATACATAAGAAATGACATGAAAAAAAAAGTTTGTTCAGCACCAGTGAATCCATGAGAATTAGGATGTGAGGGTAGAAAAAATTTACTAGGTAGTTTTAAAAATTGGAAGCTGTGACCCAAATAAGCTGATACAATTCCTTTCAACACTTGTGAGGGGGCTGTGTGAGACTCTTTACACAATTTCGGAGACAGTTCAGAGCCCTTGATAGCTGCCTGTGCGAAGGGTGTCTCCTGCGGGAAGCCGACAGCTGGGTTCTAAACTTCCGGGTCTTCTCCCTGCCCACAGCGGCCAGCAGTTAGCTCATCAGCCTGCTTCCGCCTGGCCTGAAACAGGACAGTTAGCTGCCCTATATACCTACCCTCCACATGATCTCCCATCCAACCTCTCTCCATGGCCTTTCACTGGGTTCCAGCACGGTGTATACTGCTAGGCTGCAAATCTGCACGGGCATATTAGACAGGTGACCCAAGGAAGCACTGTTTTATAAATGATGAATTCAGTGAACCGGGTATATTTCTCACAAGGTGTAATGCCTTTATTTATTTGTTAATGAAACAAATTAGAAATGGATCAGCAAACAGCTAACAAATTTCCTTCCATAAGTCACATATATAACACCCCTTAGAAAGGAGGATAGTCCCACCCACTCTCGGAACTCTCCCCCAATCCTGTGACACACAGGTGTTGAAATCAGTGCATGATCAGATGGAGATTTATTCACCGTGTTGGATATCAGGGTCAGGTTTGGCCAATGGCACTGATGCTCACAGAAACACACCCAACCGTCTGCGTTGCAGAACTTGTGTTTAACCATGTGGAAGATTTCAGATTTGATGTTGACCTCAGTATCTGCAACAGGGCATTCACAGCCCTCAGGGGGTATCTAGCCTTCTTTATTCTCAGTCACCAAACTGGCCTGTGGTGCCAGGATGGGAGGCACGCACCTCACACCTAGCTTATCACATTCCCTTCATCTCTACAACTGTGCCAAGGAAATGCACATCTTGGGTGTGATGGGTCCTGTGCCAGTGAAAATGCCAAGCTCTGGTCCAGGCCGCGGCTCCCTCGCTGTGAGATCTGCGCTGCTGCTTACCTGGGAGGAGAGGCTCTGCACACTGACCGCAGGCCCCTCTGTGAGCAGGCACACCAAGCTGCCTCAGACCTAGTAGCTTCACCTTCATCCTGAAATGCAAACTGCACTCCGATGAGGGGGAAAGAGCACGTTTCCTTGTGGGCCAGGTGCTCTTCGAAGACAGTATGCTTCTTCTTTTCAGTCCACTGGTGTGACTTTTCCTTGATGCTCATCACTGGTCAAAGAAAAATGCACTTCCTGGTCCTGTCCCAACGGACCCCTAAAGCGCAAGGGAAACAGATCACTGATGAATAGCAGCAGCAGTAGCAGAGAGATCGCTCTTGGGACCGAACAGGAGGTTAGGATGGAGGCAGAAGACGTCCAGAACAGCTACTGTTGCATGCTGGAGGCATGAAAATGTACCTGGAAGATGTGAGGAAAGCTGACATAACGAAGCAGTGAAGGGAGTCAGCTCTTACGGGTCCTTAGAAACAACGTGGAGAGCAAAAGGAGCCGCGGAGGTTCTTGGGGGTAATGCAGCTGCACAGTGGATGATTAGGAGACAGAGTACGGAATTTATGACAGCCAGGCAGGAACCAAGAGGACATGAGTCCTGGCTACGACAGAGGGAGCCGGTTGTGAAGACTCCCCTGTATAATGCAGTTTCCAATGGGAATCCTCTTAAATCCAACCGACAAGGCTGTACAACACATTTTATCCCTGTTTTGCAGACACGGGTAGCTAAGGTCTTGAAAAGCTGCTCATTTCTGACTCAAGTCTGGTAGGAGCCAACATTTCTATTTTTATTTACTTCTTGCTGTGGTATCTTCTTACAAGGGCATTCTGCAGTTCCTAGACAACAAATCCATGGAAAACTGGGTGGATGAACAGTCAGGTCTCCTGTGCTGCCTTGCATCATTTCCAGGGCAATGAGCTGTTCAGTTCAGGTCCTCACAAACTGTGTGTGTGAATGCAAGTGTGAGCTCAGTGCTGAGCGCTGGCTTGGTGATTTCTTGCCCACATCGCTGAGCTGATGCTGATTGACTAGAAAGCTTTATATGGCTGAGTTCCTTTATTCACCTTCAGCAAATCTCTTCTCCTCCAATGGGGTTGGCTCCGTGTGTTCAGCAGATGCTTCTCACCTACTGTGGCTGCCATCAGAGGTGAGACTGACCACCTCCTGCAGAGCTCTCCTCCCTCAGGGAGCCCTAACACCATGTCACAGAGGCAAGGATCAATGTAGGTGGTGCATGCAGAGTGTCAGTATAGGACCCTGCACACAGTGAGCATCCTCATGGCAGGGAGCCATGTGGGCAGAGGCTGGGACCAAGCGCTTGGCACATAGAAATCCCCTGAGGGCCCAGGACCCAGCACATGGGGCCAGATGTGTGCACACAGTGCAGAAGTGTGCAGGGCTCCATCAACCAGCATATTGTGTTCACTTGGTTCACTAGTCTGTGGGTCAGGCAGACTGTGAGTCTTTAAGGGAGTTGGCGTGATTTACCCACATGCATTCACTGTCTCTCTCTGTGTCTCTGTCTCTCCTTCAATCTGTCTGTGTGCTCCTCTGTCTGTAGCCTTCTTCCCATGTATGTATGTTCTTCTGTCTTAACCAGAAGGGAGGATACTTGCTTGCATTCAGATTGCCTATATGGGACCCTGGGGATTCTGCAGCCCAGTGGCAAACTTGGGGAGTCCCAAGTGTTTCCCAGGGAGCCTGGGTTGTGGGGAGGGGGCCTGTGACTGGGAGGCAGCCATTATTAGTAAGCAGTTTGTCAGAGTTTCCCAGTGATACATGCTTAGCTTTTCAGCGGGTCGGGAGAAATGTCCTAAGTGCCAAATGATGAAGTTCAGACAACACATTTTGGTCATTGTTTGCCCAGCAATGTACGCAATGCCTTCCTAGTAAGGATGTCTGTCCCTCCTGAGCAGACACCTTCTCAGTCCTGGAATGCTGCCACCCACACGTCCCCCTGCTCATGACTCACACAGCGGGTTGCTTTTCCTCACAGCACCTGCCAGGAACGGGACTTCACACACACTGATGTGACTGGCAGGAAGGCAGTGTGATCTGTGCACTGACTGCTCTGGACTAGCAGACTGTGAAGCAGAGAGATGGTGAACAGTGCGGCCCATACTTAGGCTTTGTGCCCCATGGGTTTCTAATGGACTTTGGGTAGCATGCAGACAGTTGGGGAACCATGGGCCCCAAAGGCAGTGAAGGACTTGTCCTCAGTGCCCCTATGTCACATCGGCCTCTATCTGCCTCAGTTCAACCTGGTGTGTGATCGGAAGCCGCTGACACAGACCTCGCAATCAGTGTTCATGGCAGGACTCCTTGCAGGGGCCCTCATCTTCGGGCCACTCAGTGACTGGTATGTATGTTGGCCAACTTCACCTACCACACTCCTGGTGCAGGCCCATGTTGCCACTGACCCTCTGTCCCCTGGATAAGGCCCTGTTCCCTGCTACTCATCTGGGACTCCTGGGGAGGGGCCATGGCACATGCTGGACACAGATCCCAGGGTGGACCCTGGGTGCCCAGGGCTTCTTCTCCAGGAGTGCCTCTCCCTGTACCCACCTGCCAATTTGTTACCGCAGGATTGGCCGTAGAACCTGTGTCCTGCTGCAGCTGCTCCTGATTGGCATCCTGGGCCTGGTCACGGCCTTTATGCCCAGTTTTGAGCTCTACATGGTGCTACGCTTTGCTGTGGCTGCTGCCAATGCAGGATGCTTGTTAAGCACTATTGCCCTGAGTGAGTATCTGGACAGGGAGCCTTCAGTTCCAGTGCGGTCCTGGGGCTGGAGCTATTTGCAGCCTCCACATGCCTGTGGGGATATAATCCAGACCTGGATTGCTTCCTGTGCTGTAGTGAGGCTCCAGCCCTACCATGGTGGCGTCTATGGGCAAGACAGAAACAGAGCGGTCAGATGTCACCCACCTCAGGCTCAACCTCTCTTCCCATAGTTTCAGAGTGGGTTGGGTCCTCCTGGAGGACTCGCACCATCGCAGTGATGCAGGCCGTCTCTGCCGTCGGACAGATGGTTCTAGCTGGACTTGCCTATGGTATCCGAAACTGGAGATACTTGCAAATTGCTATCTCTGCTCCCACCTTCCTGCTCTTCTTCTACTTCTGGTGAGGAGACACTTGCTGGGAGGAAGTGGTGCTTGGTGAGCTTGCTGATGATGGAGTCCAGCCCTCACCTTCAGCACATCTCCCAGGTGGTCAAAGGCTGCAGTGGGACAGGCAACCTGGGAGGGCTGGGTGTGGGCCTCAGTGTTCCCTGGAATAGCTGGAAAGGATGCTTAGGACTCTGGACCCCAAAGTTCCAGCTCTTCCTGGTCTGCAGGCTTCTGCCAGAATCTCCACGGTGGCTCCTCATCTACAGGAAGATGGAGAAGGCCAAAAAACTGGTCCAGAAGGCTGCTGTGGTCAACAGGCGGGAGCTCTCTGCAGAGCTCTTGAACCAGGTACTGGCAGCAGCCCCAGCCCCAGCCCTGCCCCAGAGCTGTCCTTCCTAGATCGGCCCTGGACCCTTTACTCTGCCTCTCCTTCCAGCTGGCCCCAGAGGAGAAAGGCCCCTCAGGGAGTGTCTTAGATCTTTTTAAACATCCCTATCTCCGGAAGGTGACTCTGATTCTCATCTTTGTCTGGTGAGTGGCCAAGGCCCATGATCTTAGGCATGGATGAAGTCAGAGGACTCTCACTTCCCGGTGTCAGTGCCATGGTGATATGGTGGATTTCAGGCCAGTATTGTCATCACAGCAGTGCTGTTGTGACTCTGACTGAGGTCGCCTCTTTACCTGAGTGTAATGATGCTGACCACCCAGCACTGACGTGGATCCTTGGGCCCCTTGTAGGTTTGTGGACAGCCTCGTGTACTATGGCCTTAGCTTCCAAGTGGGGGAATTTGGCCTGGACATCTACCTGACACAGCTGATATTTGGAGCATTTGAAGTGCCTGCCCGCCTTTTCAGCATCTTCTTGATGGAGAGGTTGGGCCGCAAGTGGAGCCAGTCTGGGACGATGATTTTGGGTGGTGTCATGTGCTTGGTCATTGCCTTCATCCCTTCAGGTACAGGCTGGCTGTTTACCATGCATCCCCACCCACCTCAGCCAGGGGCCAGTCCAATGGTCATTGCTCTCATGTGCAACTAAGGGTTCCCAAGGTTTGGGTACAGCAGAGTTGAGGGTCTTGGGTGCCCAGTGATGTGAGCCATGAGCTCTCTGCATGACTGACCAGCCTCTTCCACCAGATCAGCCTGTGGTGATCACCGTGCTGGCTGTGGTGGGAAAGAATGCCTTAGCTGCCAGCTATACCGTCTCCTACGTGTACACTGCTGAGCTCTTCCCCACAGTCATCCGGTAAGAGCTTCTGGTAAGACGACTCCTCCTCTAACCTTGGTATCTGAATTTTGACAGCCACTATGCTGTCCTTAGCACCAGTCTACAAATAGCTAATGAAACTGGCTGTAGGGGCTGGAACAACCAGAAATCAAGCACAGTCCCTAAGTTTTCCCGTTGAGTATAAGACTGATACAGAAGTTCACTATGCCATGACCTTGTCAGGCACAAATGTGGGGTACGTGTAAAAGTGAAGGGCCAGAATAAGGGACATTCACTGGGGAAGAGGGAAAGTGTGAGGAGCAGTCTTTGTCTGAGATGTGGCAGTTGTGCAGGAGTGAAGCAGGCAGGGAGCCCTGGAGTGAGAGAAGCACAAAGGAGCAGAGAAACTCATTGCTGGGTGGACCATCGGGGCATGGCAAGCTTGCAAGACTTGTTGGATCTCAATAGAGGTGTTGCAGGGTATCTGTGGCCTGGAGCAAGACCAGCTCTGCTCAGCTTGTGCTGATCTCCCCCAGGCAAACGGGCATGGGGCTGGTGAGCATCTTCTCAAGGATCGGGGGCATCCTCACACCACTTATCCTCCTGCTGAGCGACTACTATGCGGCCCTCCCTATGCTCCTCTTTGGCATCATCCCCATTGTGGTAGGGGTGCTTGGTATCCTGCTGCCAGAGACACGTGGCCAGAGTCTGAAGGACACCATCCAGGACCTGGATCAGCAGCAACCCCCAGGACAAAAAGGTTGCTTGTTCTGATACTCACATGGGTTACTCTCCATCCAGAGGCCCTGGCCTCCACTTCACTATTTGTGTCTTGTTTCTTAGAAACCAATATGGATTCCATGGATCCGCAGACATCTGTGAAGCTTTGAAACAGAACCCTCCTACTTTAAGGTGTGGCGTGGTGAGGAATATGGCCATGGGACCAATTTCTGAACGTCAGTTACAGATTTTTGCTCTGTCCTGGTCCTTGGATTCAGAGACTTCAGCAAAACAAAGGAGATCATAGACAATTCTTCAAACCTAAGGATGGCCTTTGTGCCCTTGTCATACTTCTGACCATGTTCACTAAGATGCAGATCATCACCAGCAGGGAACACTCTACTCCTTCTCTGGATGTTGCCAGACACCAAAATCAGCATGTGTCATGCAGGCAGCATGCCATGACCTGGCCACAGCCCCAGCCTCAGCCACCCACTGCTGAGTACCATTCAGATGTGTCAGGAACAGTTCCTCCCCTGCCCCGACCCCTCACCTGTGATGTCCCCAGAACTTAACCCCAATAACCTCCATCAGAGTCTTTAGCATTCCCTTGGCTTTGCTCATTTTCTTATCATTTGTTTTTCCTGATTCTCCCAACCTGGGTAGCTCCACTGTGAGCAGCCTGAAGCCCAGAGCAGAGTTCCACGTAGGGCTTTCCAATGTTGTGGGAGCAAGCAGAGAGGAATCAAAGTTTGGAGCTGTGAGTTGTACCCGGACAGGTGGAGAAATTGCTGGGCAAGAGAAGAGAAAGTGATGGCTTATTCTAGGCATTGGCTCAAACCTTCTCTGTGTGGTGTTTAGGCCCAGAAGACATTTCATCTGAGAGACTGGTCAACCTCACAGCTACAGTCCTGCATTCTCCATGAAGATCACTCACCTGCTGCCTGACACTTTGCTTATACCTAACTTGGGTGTGGCTCAGTGGCCAACATGGGGAAAGGGAGATCAGTTCTGTTTCTCTATTCAACTCTATACCAAAGAATTCGACAACTTAGATGAAATGGATAAATTCCTTGGAAGAGAAATAATGAAAGCTTACTCAAGAATAAATGTAAATCCTAGGTTTGTGAGTATAATTCATTCCAGAAATAGGCTTGCAATTTAGTGCCCTATGGAAGCAAATTTTCCCATAAGAAATAAGGGACAATCAGATGATTGGTTCCACAACCCAAAAATATTCAGATGGCCATGGCTGCGATTCCTTTAACGTAACACAAAATAATAAATAAAATACAAATATGAAGCAAAATAAAGTAAGCTGCACTCATCTTTGAAGTCCTCATTGCTGTTGTGACAGAGTGAGGAGTTAAACTGTAGGAGGACTTTCAAATCACAGAATCATTGCTGCCTGTTAACTCAGCTTCTCTCCTGCACCTTTAACAAGGAATCCATCCAATGCTCCTTACTTTCGTCTCCTGTGGATGATTTTGCAGAAAAGCAACATCATATCATCGTTGAACAGATTCATCACATGCAGTGCTTAGCATTCTTTGCGTAGTTCTTCACTACAGAAGTTTGCAGTTTCCTACATTTTACACGTCTACCTGATCTCCTCAGCAGACGAGGTGTCATGCATAACCTCTAGCTGTTGGCAGACGATCACCCACAGTCTCACAGCATGAGAGAGCAAGAAACCATTGGCTCAGTTGTGATCACAGATGTTTGGTGTCACATGCCATTCATATTGCAAGACTTTATCAATTTAAAATTTATTTTTTATAATTATATTTATTTGTACCTTTTAGGTACACATAATGACTACATGCATCATGTTGAATTTGTACCAGTAAATGACATAGCTTGATTCTTTTTTCTCCATGTCCCCACCCTTCTTTTAACTCTTCTTGTCCTTTTATTTATAAAAGCTTTGTTTCCATTTTTTCCTCTTTTCTTGTTTTACTCTTTCTTCATTTTACCCTCCCCCCTTCTTGGTTCTGCTTCCTATTTGACGTTTCGTTCCTATTTTTATATACATATATAATTCTTTAAAATTTTATTTTGAATGTAGTAAAAATACAACAGAACAAGATAAAACAAAGCCAATCAAGACAATGTGGTCACATGGGAACAGAACTTCAAAGTAGAATAATGGGTACTAGAGTATATCTCATTATCTTCACAATAGTTGTCCAGTCAGTTAGGTATAGTGAAATCAAACCAATAACAGACCAGTGTAAAACAAATTGAAGGAGAATATTGAATAGAGCAAAACAATCATTACAAAACAAGAGTGAAAATCACCTTTGCCTTCAAACAGAATATAGAAGGAAATCCCACTTATGTGCTATATTGCATATGGTCATCCTCCCAAGAGATGCTCAGAACTCTGTCCCCAGTTGCTTAGGGGGGTGGGAGGATGTATGTTTGATTCTTAGCCCACAGGCCCCATAGGCTCACCCAAACAGCTGACTGATTCTCCTCCTGGCTGGTGCCAGGGGCATTTACCAAGAGGGTCTATTATATATTTTTTCTCTTATTTATGTGTTTAGTTTCTCACACCAGAGAAACTATGTGGTATTTATACATATGTTTTTGATTTATTTCACTTAAGAGCATGTTCTCAAGGTCCATTCATTTACCTAGAAATGTTTCAATATTATATTCTTTACGGCTGAGTAGTACTTTATTGTATAAAAGAATCACATCTTCATTATCCATTCATTGGTTTATGAGCATTTAGGCTGTTTCCAAGACTTAGTTATTATGAATTGTGCCGCTATAACACACAGGTGTGCACGTATCATTGTGGTATGATGCTGTCAATTCTTTAGGGAAGGTACAAAGAAAAGGGTAGCAGGATCCCACCGGACCTCCAATCCTAGATTTTTGAAGAATCTCCACCACTGCTTTCCACAGTGGTTGCACCGGTCTACACTTCTACTAACAGTGAAAAAGGTTCCTTTTTTCCCTCATCCCCTCTGGCATCAATTATTGGTTGAGTTCTTGACAATAGTCATTTTTTCTGGAGTGAGATGGAACCTCAGCATTGTTTTAATGTGCATATCTTGAAGGACCAGGGATGATGAACACTTTTCATATATTTATTTGTCATTTGTACTTCTTCATCTGAAAAGTGTCTGTTTCAGATGCCCATTTTTAGACTGGGTGTTTAAATTTTGGATGTATGATTTTTTTAGTTCTTTATATATTCTAGATGTAGTCTTTTGTGTCAGGAATATCAGGCAAACATTTTTTTTCACACCGTGGGGTGTATCTTAAGTCTGTTGACGATTTCTCTTGCTGTAGAAAAGCTTTTAAGTAATATGAGATCCCAGTGATTGATTCTTTATGATAGTTCTTGTGCAATTGAGATGTTATTCATAAAATCTTTGTCTATGCCAGTGTCTTTAAGAGTCCTACTTATTTCATCTTCGATCAGATTTAGTGTTTCTGTTTTAATATTTAGATATTTTTTATTATTTTATTTTAAAAAAGATTAAGATAAAAGAGGACATAACAAAACAGTTCAGAACAGAACAGTTTAAGCAACATAGTGTTTCACCACAAGACAATCCAACATAACAGTAGCTACCACAGTGTCTCTTTCATTGAAATAATTGAGTATACCTTCATGTACTATAGCATCAAACATGAAAAGACAATGTAAAACCATTCAACAGAATGAAAGTATTACAGGGTAGTCAGAATCAACTAACAGAAAATGAACAAAGGTTACTATATTATCTCCTTGTCTACAAAATATATTGTTTATACTATCACATATAATAAAAGCCAATAAGATACAACATGATAAAACCAATGGAGACAGAAGAACAAAAGCTTGGTGGGACTTCAAAACAAGATGATATTAAATCATCACTAGCTATTACAATGTCTTGTTTTCTTCAAAATAGCTGTTCATACCATCACAGACAATAAAATTAAACAACCTCAAATAAAAACATTTCAATTAATGAATGAAAACATTATAAGGCTTCAAAGCAATATAATGGGGAATCATGGTTACCACACACTTTTATGTATTCTTACCATTTCTTACACTAGGAAAACTATTCGGTATTTATATATGCGAGTTTGATTTATTTCACTTATGAGTATGGTCCCAAGCTGCATCCACTTATTTATAAATATCTCAATGTGATCTTTCTTTATAGCTGAGTAGTACTCCACTGTATAAAAATACCATAGTTTTTTTTTATCCATTCCTCAGTTGATGGACACTTAGGTTGTTTCCAAGATCTGGCTATTACAAATTATGCCGCTTGCTATAAACATGGGTGCACATATATCACTGTGGTATGATGTTTTCAGCTCTTCTAGCAATATACCTGGAAGTGGAATAGCTGGAACAAGTGGGACTTCCAATCCCAGCTTTCTGAGAAATCTCCAGACTGACCTCCACAAAGGCTGCTCCAGTGTACACTCCCACCAACAGTGCAGGAGAGTCCCTTTTTCCCCACAGCCTCTCCAGCATTTGTTGTTGTTGTTGTTTTCTTAATCCTGGCCATTCTTTCAGGAGTGAGATGGTATCTCAGTGTGGTTTTAATTTGCATTTCTCTAATGACCAATGATGATGAACATTTTTTCATGTATTTATTTGCCATTTGTATTTCTTCATCTGAGAATTACGTGTTCATTTCAGATGCCCATTTTTGGATTGGATCCTTAAATTTTGGGGGTCTGATTTTTTTTACTTTATATGTTTTAGACAGAAGTCCTTTGTCTGAGCGACAGTTCACTAAGGTTGTTTCCCAGTTTGTGGGTTTTCTTTTCACTGTGCTAGAGATTTCTTTTGACATGCAGAAACTTTTAATTAGACATGATCCCAGTTGTTGATTCTGGGAAGTATTTCCTGTGCAGTTTGATTCCTGTTCATGAACTCTCCACCTATGCCTATGTCACCAAGGGTTATATCCAACTTGTGTTCCAATAGATTTAGTGTTTCTGTTTCAATATTCAGATATTTGATCCATTTAGATTTTAATTTAGTACATGGTGATAGGCATGGGTATAGTCTTAGTTTTGACATATGGAGAGCCAGTTTTTCCAACACCATTTATTAAAGAGACTGTTGTTCTTCCAGTGAACATGTTTGGCACCTTTATCAAAGATAAGGTGGTTGAGTGTGTTTGTAATTGTGGCTGTATCTTCTAATCTATTCCATTGATCTTCGGCTTTATTTTTATTCCATGTTGATTTTACTACAGTTGCTTTATAGTATAACATCAAGTCAGGGATTTTGATGCCTCCTGCCTTGTCTTTGCTGCTTAAAACTGCTATTCTAGGTCTCTTTGCTATTCTAGGTCTCTTTTGGTTCCAGATGAATTTTGGAGTGATTTCTCTAGGTCTATGAAGTATGTTGATGGTATTTTGATTGGGATTGTATTGAATCTGTATAACAATTTTGGGAGAATGGCCATTTTCACAATATTTGTTCTTCCTATCCATGAGCAAGGGATGTCTTTCCAATTTCTGAGATCCACTTCAATTTCTTTTTTCCGTGTATCATAATTTTCCCTATGTAGATCTTTCACTACTTGCTTCCCTTTCAATTTCATTGAACAGTTTGAGGAGTGTCAGCATTTGTATTTCTGGTAGAATTCTGCAATGAATTCAACCAGACCTGGGCTCATCTTTGTAGGTAAGGACTTAGTTACATTTTCAATTTCATTAATAGAAATTGGGTTATTCAGCAGTTTTACACCTTCTTGATCTAGCTTTGGTACTTCATATGTTTCTAGGAATCTGTCTATTTCTTCTGTGTTATCAAACCTAGGAGAGTAGAGGTTTTCGAAATAGGAGTTGATGATCTTATGTATTTCTACAGAGTCTGTAGTGATTTTACCTTTTTCATTCCTTATTGCATGAATTTAAGCTTTTTCTTCCTTTTTTAAAAATAAGGTTGGGTAGGGGCTTATCAATTTTATTTATTCTTTCAAAGAACCAACTCTTTGATTCATTGGTCCTTTGGATTGTTTTCTTAGTCTCTGTTGCATTAATTTCTGCTCTGATTTTTATAATTTCCTCTCTTCTTTTGGCTTTGGGCTCAACTTGCTCTTCTTTTTCTAGATGTTTGAGCTGTAGCATCAGGTTACTAATTTGTATTCATTCTGTTTTCCTGATGTGGGAACTCAGTGCAATAAATTTTCCTCCAAGGGCAGCTTTCACTGCCTCCCACAGATTCTGGTAAGTTGTATTTGTATTTTTGTTTGCTTGTAGGTATTTTTTAATTTCTTCTTTAATTTTCCCTGTGACCCACTAATTATTCTAGAGTGTGTTATTCAGTTTCCACGTGTTTGTGGGAATTTTGCAGTATCTTGTATCATTAATTTCTAGTTTTATGGCCCTATGGTCTGATAACATGCATCGGATAATTTCAATTCTTTTGCATTTATTTAAATATGTTCTGTGGGCTAGTATATGGTCTATTTTAGAGAATGTCTCATGTGCTGCTGAGAAGAACATGTATTCTGATGTTGTTGGATGGAACACTCTGTATATGTCCATCAAGCCCATTTGTTCACAGGTGTGATTCAGTTATTTCTTTGCTGATTTTTCTGTCTGTTTGATCTGTTCCTTGGTGTCAATGGTGTGTTAAGGTCTCCTGTTATAATTGTGTTATTGCTAATTTGGTTTTTCATTTCTGTTACTCTGTATAGCTGGGTGTGCTTGAATTTGGTGCATATATATTTAAAATTGTTATCTCTTCCTCTTGAAGTTTTCCCCTAACCAGTATGTAATGACCATCTTTATCTCTTCTGAACATTCTTGGTTTGAAGTTCACATTGTCTGCCAACATAATAGCTACCCCTGATTTTTATGGGTTCATGTTGCATGAAGTAATGTTTTCCATCCTTTGACATTCAGGCTCTGAATATCCTTT